ACTAAACAAAGAAAACAACTAACAACTATTATAATTTATCCGTGTCTGCATGGAGAATTATAGCAAGACACGACCGAAAGCATAGCATGGCGGGAAGAATGGCGGAGCACGGTGTCGAGAACTGCTGCCCAAGAATAACTACAGATGCATGGCAGGACGGAGAGCTCCTGCGCAGAAGAAATGGAAGCAGCGGCACGGCGGACTGGAACGTCACGGCGAGGAAGATAAACAGCATGCCACGGCGTCACTCACGGCGCGGAAACAGAATATGTCGCGGCGTGTCCTTCTCCTCACGGCGTGGAGGAGCGGCGTGAGGCAACTACTGTCAACAGCGGGATATTGGTTCGCCGCGTGAGTGTTAGAGTAGTATACCCGATGTTCCAATCAGATTGGATGTATTCTATTTTTAAATACAATATATTGGAATTATATTAAATAAAAGGCATTACTTTATTTTAAGAGTAAGCATTTATAATATATTTGCACTTAAGATAAAGTCCCTAGATCACATATAGCTATAAGATATGGTTGCGCATAGAGATGGTGATCATGGAACATATCTTGAAAGCTGTGATCTTAAATACAGTTCCAAGTCGTTGGATGTTTCGAGATGGGATATCGAATAATCTGGAAAAGACTTGCACATATGATGTATGCTTGTTGGACAAGAATCTTGCATTCCATTAACATTAGCGTGGGACGCAAGTACATATATGTGAGTGCTTGTTAGAGAACAAGTTCACTGAAAATGACCGTATGAAAATTCTTAATGAAAGATTTGTCTTGTCGAATAAGAATTTTCATGTTACAATAGTACATGAGTAATCCTTAGACTTGAGGCACAATGGTAACTTTGTGCATATTATATTTTACTTTGAATTATCCTTTTGATTGCTAGCACAATCGTATAAAGGGATATTTTGGGTATTATATTAATATGTATGGAAGTTTGTTAGTGGCCAATAAAGGATTCGACACTTATGAAGATAAGTGAATTTCCTATGTGTTTCATAGTTAGTAATTCAAAGTCCTTGGCCAAGGCGGGATGAATAGAGATTCATAAACGAATTACTAAACTTGAAATGGAATCATAGTTATTAAATCAATTTGGGTTTCGACAAAATCATACCCAAAGATTTAATCAGGAAATTAGATGTCGAAAGGTTTTTACATGTATGGACTTGTAATCGAAATAGGTTTACTCGCTATTCACTTAATACTAGATTCATGCTACTTGCTAGATGTTCCCATGATATGTGGGTTCTTGAATTAAAGAGTTAATTCATGAATAAGAGTTAATAAGATTAACTCAAATTACAAAGAGTTGTAAACCCACTACTAGTATTAATTGTGAACCTAAAAGGTCACACCAATTTTTGAATGAAAGTAAAATTCAAATAGTAATTCTAAAGAGTTAGAATTAATTGACTAATCTAATTTGATTAGATTTCAATTAAAGGAATATATTAAATTAATCAATTGGATTAATTAATTGAATTTTGGATAATAATTTAGTAATTAAGGGAATTACTAATTAATAGTTGGAATTTAAAATTAGATTTTAAATTTCAAATCCAAATAATAATATGATTATTAAATAAGGAAATTGGAATAAACGATTAAAATAATAAAGTCTTGAAAAATGTTTTCAAGAATTATTATTTTATGATATTATTATTTTATCTTTAATATAATTAAAGATTAAAATAATTAAGGAGACAAAATAATGGTGGTTGATGGTGGTTAAGAACCACTCCACATTATTTATTAAAAGTCAATATTTGGTATGGATTTTTTAAATAAAATCTGATTTTATTTAAAAATAATTAATTATCAAATATTGATTATTTTATGCTAAAATGTTTAGTATAAATAGGTGCAAAATGTTTGCACAAAATTGGCTAAGTCTTGAGCAATATTTCTTCCTAGAGAGAACATTCAAATTGTTGAGTGATATAACAAGAAAAGTTCTTGCAAAATTTCCTTGTAATTTATATTCCTTATTTATTTGAAAAACCGAGTAGTTTCTACAAGCGAAGAAGCTATCGTCGGAGCCGGAATTCAAAAGGTGAATACGTTTAGAGGGAAGACAATTGGATTCCTAAAAGCGAGTAACCACAATCACAAGAAGTGAAGTGACGTTACCAAACCGGAAACCGATTTCCTCAATCCATCTTCGTTTTTGAAGGAGTTCAAGAACTAAGGTAATTTTATTTAAAATTACATATCAAATCAAAATTAGTAAAAGTTACTAGATTTTAAATGATGCTTATTCGTTCTCTCATTATACGTATGTACGGAATAAGTATTTATAAGATAAATACTTATAAAATTTTTAAATTATGTTGTGTTATATGTTTCGTAGGGGTATATCGAACCCAACAATGGTATCAGAGCCACGTTCGATTAGCATCTTTAAAATTAGATTTTGATTTGAAAAATTGTTAAAAACACGATCTGGACTAAAAATCGAATAGAGTATTCGAAAACAAGAGTTGTGCAGGGTGACACGACTCGTGTGAAAGGTCGTGTGGGGTCACACGACCCGTGTGAGGAGTCACACGAGTCGTCTGACCAGTCGTGTGACTTCACACGACTCGTGTGAGGTGTGACACGAGTCGTGTGAGTCTGATTTCTTCTATGAATTTTGAAAGTCAATCTCAAATTTGTCACACGAGTCGTGTGAGTAAGTCACACGAGTCGTGTGACATGTCACACGAGTCGTGTGGCTTGCTACATGAGTCGTGTGACTGGTTTTTTTATCAGAAACGAGCTGTTTTGACTTAATAGAAGTCACTACTACATCAACATATTAAATTGGAGAATTTATATGTTGAATTCATGTGATGAATGGTTGATTTAGGGATGATCATGAGCCTTTTACACATAATGAATGAATGAATGCATTTTATTTCAATATGATTGAATGTTTGCATTATTTATTCAATTTGGTTGAATGTTGTATATTATTCAATGAGATTGAATGAATGTAATTTATCGAGACCTGCGAGTCTCTTGAGATTTGATTTGTAAAATTTAAAATTTTTGTATCGTTAGAATGATTAGATCAAGGTGGAGACCGTTCAATGCAAAAGGCCTACGTATGTGTGGGTAATTTTACAAGTTGTAAATCTCGAAGGCCTGTGCTTGTACGGGTAGATAAAATGTATTGTAATAGAAGTAGTTCTATTTGTTTTATCACGTACATAGGCATATACCCATTTTGGCTCGAATGGGTCGTATAGGCAAGGACATGATCATCCCACTGTATGCATGCATTAGATGTATGTTAGGTTTATTTATGCTTGTGATTCATGTGATGAATAATGCGGTAAATAAACGTAAAAATGGTAATCGATGAGATCTTAGGAACCCTAAAAATTAATTTGATTAATTCCATATCAAATCAGTAATGGATAAAAATAAGTCGAAACTTATTAATCCAGGCCTTCCATCAAAAGTAGACGACATGTGATGCTACGATGCTTTATCACCGACCATGAGTCGTGGGGTGGTTTTATGTCGAAAGCTGTGATCCCTACTAAGTATAGTGATACTCGTGAAACAGATTCCTCTTTGTGTCCACCATGAGTCGTGGGACATTCTGGTGGGCCGTTATCATGAATGTTTGATGGGTTTGATTTGACACTAAGTAATATATACGGTAATAAAATTGAGGTATATAAGGAAAGGTGAGGCAAAACATCTTGAAGGTTGTATAGTGATACAATTGTCAAAAGTTGACTACCGATAAAATTGTTTCATGAGTACTCATAAAATTGGAATATGAAATAATTTTATTGGACTTCAAGCCCACTATGAAAATAAGATTTTCATAATTAAAATAGGGTTTTAATTAAAATAGTTGGAGACATTTAATGTTAAAGACCTAATATTAAATGAATATAAATTCCATAGTCTGATTATTTTCTGCTTCGTTTGTTTTGTAGATCACTCTACTAAAATGGCTAAGAATCCAATTGCAAGTATTCTAGAACACAACAAATTAACTGGACCCAACTTTAATGACTGACTGAGGAACCTAAAAATTGTTCTACAGTCTGAGAAAAGGGACTATGTACTGGACAAAGCCCCTCCTCCTCCACCAGAGGATCAGACTTCTGATGAGTATGGAGAATACTTACGTCATATTGATGATAATCTCCAAGCTCGGTGCTACATGTTAGCATTAATGTCAAATGAGTTACAGAGACAGAATGAATTATTGGATAATGCTACTGATATCCTACTTCATCTACAAGAGTTGTATGGTGAAAGGACTCGGCAAATTAGATATCAAATATCTAAAGAGCTTTTCAGGTGTCGTATGACTGAGGGCTCTTCAGTTCATGATCATGGGCTGAAGATGATAGCTCTTATTGAAAGGCTTTCATCCCTTGGAGTCATTATGGATAATGAACTCTATGTGGATCTTTTGCTGCAATCTCTGCCACCGTCATTTGACAGCTTTGTCGTTATCTTTAACATGCATAACATGGAGACTTCTCTCCCAGAGTTAGTGAACATGTTAAAGACGGTTGAATCTACGATTAAAAAGGATAAGCCGGTGCTTCTTGTTGGATCCTCTTATGGATCAAAGACTGTAAAGTCTAAGAAAAGGAAGGGGAAGGGAAAGGTTCCAATAAACCTAATAAGAAGGCAAATAACGACAAGGTAAGAACAAAGAGAAGGTTAATCCTCAGTCGAGTCATGAATGTTATCATTGTGGTAAAACTAGGCACTAGAAGAGGAACTGAAAGGAGTATCTTGCTAGCCTGAAAAGTTCAGGTATTTATTTTGTTGAAGTTAACTTATCAGTTAACGATTCTTCTTGGGTATTGGATACCGGCAGTGGCTCACATATTTGCAATGATTTGCATATGATGGCAAGAAGTAACAAGCTAGAAGATAATGAAATGATCCTAAGGATGGGCAATGGAGCAAAGGTTGCTGCCAAAGCAATTCGGATTGTTTATCTAGCTTTGAATAATGATGTAAAGATTTGTCTTTCAAATTGTTTGTATGTTTCGGATTTAATAAGAAACATTATTTCTATTCCAACATTGGATAGAGAAGGTTTTAAGTTCGTAATTGAGAATGGAAGATGTTCCATTTTCAAAGATACAACTTTTATTTATTTCGAAAATCTGACAAATGGGTTATATACCATTACACCACAAAGCCCCATCCTAACCATTCAACAAAATAAAAGAAAATTTGATAATCATAGTTCATTCACAATTTGGCATGCTAGATTAGGTCATATATCTGAAAAGAGGATTCACAAATTGGTACCAAAACTCGACCATAGGGGAGAGGAAAGGTTGCCTACTTGTGAGTCATGTCTTAAAGGTAAAATGACTAAATCACCATTTGTTGGACAAGTGGAGCGAGCTAAAGGTCTATTGGATTTGATCCATACAGATGTATGTGGACCACAAAATGTTAGTGCCAAGGGGAACTACCACTATTTCATAACCTTTACTGATGATTATTCAAGGTATGGTTATGTATACCTATTAAGGTACAAATTTGAAGTATTTGAAAAGTTCAAAGAATTCAGAAATGAAGTGGAGAAACAAATTGGTCATAGTATTAAAGTTCTTCGATCGGATGGAGGAAGTGAATACTTGACTAATGAGTTTCTTGATTATTTACGAGATAATGGGATTATTTCACAGTGGACACCTCCTGGAACTCCACAACTTAATGGAGTTTCAGAAAGGAGGAATCGAACTTTGTTGGACATGGTTCGATCGATGATGAGTTCCACTACTCTACCTCTTTTATTCTGGGGTTATGCCTTAGAAACAGCTGCACATATTTTGAATAGAGTGCCAAGTAAAGTTGTACCCAGCACACATTATGAGATATGGTGTGGCAAAACACCCTCGTACAAGTATATGAAAGTATGGGGTTGTACTGCTTATGTGAAGCAGTTAGTGGGATGTAAGTTGGATATGAGATCCGTCTTATGTAATTTTGTGGCGTATCCAAAAGAATCTACTGGGTACTATTTCTAGGACCCCTCTGAACAAAAGGTGTTTGTTTCGAGGAATGCTATTTTCTTAGAGGAAGAGTTTCTCTCAAAGAATAGCGGAGTCATAGAACTTAATGAAGAACCACAAGAAATTCCACAAAGTACCACAAATAACATATCAGTAGAGACTGAACCATCTGTAACACAACCTCTTCGGAGATCTTAAAGGATTTCTAGGGCGCCTGAGAGGCTGTACCTATTGTTAGAGAACAATGAAGAGAGACTCCTTTTGGATAATGATCCAATAAGCTATGATGAAGCAATGTCGGACATTGACTCAGATAAATGGCAAGAAGTTATGCAATTCGAAATAGATTCAATGTATTCAAACAAAGTATGGACTTTGGTTGAACCACCACAGGGTATTGTACCCATCGGTTGTAAATGGGTTTACAAACGAAAATGTGGTGGAGATGGAGAAGTAAACACTTTTAAACCAAGACTGGTTGCTAAAGGTTATACTCAAAAGAAAGGAATTGATTATGAGGAAACTTTTTCACCAGTAGCAATGCTTAAGTCTATTCGAATATTGTTAGCCATAGCTGCGTATTATGACTACGAGATATGGCAAATGGATGTGAAAACTGCATTTCTTAATGGAAACATTAAGGAAGACATTTATATGAAACAACCGCAGGGTTTCATATCCAGAGGGAGTGAACAAATGGTTTGTAAGCTTCAAAGGTCCATTTATGGACTTAAACAGGCTTCGAGGAGTTGGAACATTCGGTTTGATAAAACGATCAAAACGTTTGACTTTCATCAGAATCCGGATGAACCATATGTTTATAAGAAGGTTAGCGGGAATGCAGTTGCATTTGTTGTTCTCTATGTTGATGACATTCTACTCATTGGGAATGATGTAGGGATGTTGCAATCAACAAGGACATGGTTGTCTAAACAGTTCTTCATGAAAGATTTGGGAGAAGCATCCTTTATCCTAGGGATAAAAATCTATAGAGATAGATTTAAAAGGATGATCGGACTATCCCAGTCTACTTACATAAATAAGGTACTAAAAAGGTTTAGTATGGAAGAATCTAAACGTGGATATATTCCAATGAGTCATGGGGTTTCTCTTTCTAAAACGATGTCTCCAAAGACACATGAAGAAAGAGAACGGATGAATCATATACCTTATGCATCTGCTATTGGTAGCATTATGTATGCAATGTTATGTACAAGACCTGATGTTTCTCATGCACTAAGTGTAACGAGCAGATATCAGTCTAATCCAGGTGAAGAACACTGGAAAGCCGTTAAGAATATTCTTAAGTACTTAAGAAGGACTAAGGATATTTTTATGGTATACGGCAATGGAGAATTGAAACTAGAAGGCTTTACTGATTCTGGTTTTTAGTCCGATAAAGACGACTATAAATCCATGTCTGGATACTTATTTACTCTGAATCAAGCAGCAGTTAGTTGGAAAAGTTCCAAACAAGAAACGATTGCTGACTCTACTACAGAGGCTGAATATATTGCTGCATCTGATGCTGCAAAGGAAGCTGTTTGGATAAGGAACTTCATCCAAGGGTTGGGTGTAGTACCATCTGTTGTTGATCCAATAACGATTTATTGTGACAACAATGGGGCTATTGCGCAAGCAAAGGAACCAAGATCTCATCAAAGATCCAAACACATCATGAGACGATACCATTTGATTAGAGAAATCATTGGTAGAGGCGACGTCGTTATGGATCGAGTCGACTCAGCAGAAAATATAGCAGACCTCTTAACTAAGCCTTTATCACAGAAAGTGTTCCAAGGAAATCTTGAGAAGAGGGGTCTAAGATACATGAGTGATTGGAACTAGGGCAAGTGGGAGATTGTTAGAGTAGTATACCCGGCGTTCCAATCAGATTGGATGTATTCTACTTGTAAATACAATCTATTGGAATTATATTAAATAAAAGGCATTACTTTATTTTAAGTGTAAGCATTTATAATATATTTGCACTTAAGATAAAGTCCCTAGATCACATATAGCTATAAGATATGGTTGCGCATAGAGATGGTGATCATGGAACATATCTTGAAAGCTGTGATCTTAAATACAGTTCCAAGTCGTTGGATGTTTCGAGATGGGATATCGAATAATCCGGAAAAGACTTGCACATATGATGTATGCTTGTTGGACAAGAATGTTGCATTCCATTAACATTAGCGTGGGACGCAAGTACATATATGTGGGTGCTTGTTAGAGAATAAGTTCACTGAACATGACCGTATGAAAATTCTTAATGAAAGATTTGTCTTGTCGAATAAGAATTTTCATGTTACAATAGTACATGACTAATCCATAGACTTGAGGCACAATGGTAACTTTGTGCATATTATATTTTACTTTGATTTATCCTTTTGATTGCTAGCACAATCGTATAAAGGGATATTTTGGGTATTATATTAATATGTATGGAAGTTTGTTAGTGGCAAATAAAGGATTCGACACTTATGAAGATAAGTGAATTTCCTATGTGTTTCATAGTTAGTAATTCAAAGTCCTTGGCCAAGGCGGGATGAATAGAGATTCATAAACAAATTACTAAACTTGAAATGGAATCATAGTTATTAAATCAATTTGGGTTTCGACAAAATCATACCCAAAGATTTAATCGGGAAATTGGATGTCGAAAGGTTTTTACATGTATGGACTTGTAGTAGAAATAGGTTTACTCGCTATTCACTTAATACTAGATTCATGCTACTTGCTAGATGTTCCCATGATATGTGGGTTCTTGAATTAAAGAGTTAATTCATGAATAAGAGTTAATAAGATTAACTCAAATTACAAAGAGTTGTAAACCCACTACTAGTAATAATTGTGAACCACACCAATTTTTGAATGAAGGTAAAATTCAAATAGTAATTCTAAAGAGTTAGAATTAATTGACTAATCTAATTTGATTAGATGTCAATTAAAGAAATATATTAAATTAATCAATTGGATTGATTAATTGAATTTTGGATATTAATTTAGTAATTATTGGAATTACTAATTAATAGTTGAAATTTAAAATTGGATTTTAAATTTCAAATCCAAATAATAATATGATTATTAAATAAGGAAATTGGAAGAAATGATTAAAATAATAAAGTCTTGAAAAATGTTTTCAAGAATTATTATTTTATGATTTTGTTATTTTATCTTTAATATAATTAAAGATTAAAATAATTAAGGAGACAAAATAATGGTGGTTTATGGTGGTTAAGAACCACTCCACATTATTTATTAAAAGTCAATATTTTGTATGGGTTTTTTAAATTAAATCTGATTTTATTTAAAAATAATTAATTATCAAATATTGATTTTTTATGCTAAAATGTTTAGTATAAATAGGTGCAAAATGTTTGCACAAAATTGGCTAAGTCTTGAGCAATATTTCTTCCTAGAGAGAACATTCAAATTGTTGAGTGATATAACAAGAAAAGTTCTTGTAAAATTTTCTTGTAATTTATATTCCTTATTTATTTGAAAAACCGAGTAGTTTCTACTAGCGAAAAAGCTATCGTCGGAGCCAGAATTCAAAAGGTGGATACGTTTAGAGGGAAGACAATTGGATTCCTAAAAGCGAGTAACAACAATCACAAGAAGTGAAGTGACGTTACCAAACTGGCAACCGATTTCCTCAATCCATCTTCGTTTTTGAAGGAATTCAAGAACTAAGGTAATTTTATTTAGAATTACATATCAAATCAAAATTAGTAAAATTTACTAGATTTTAAATGATGCTTATTCGTTCTCTCGTTATACTTATGTACGGAATAAGTATTTATAAGATAAATACTTATAAAATTATTAAATTCCGCTGTGTTATATGTTCCGTACGGGTATATCGAACCCAACAGTGAGGAGGTGAAGAACAACAACAGTATGCCGGAGAAGATGATTCACAACGAGGTTTCTGGCGCGGCGTGAAGATGTTAGGTGTCACGGCGGAAGCGATGCGTTGCCGCGGCGCGAGGCGCTGGCACGGCGTGAAGGGTGGTCGCGGCACGGCGTGGGCGGTCTTCGAGGCGCGAAAGAAAGGTCCGGCACGGCGTGAGGAGGCGTCGCAGCGGGGCAGAAATGAAGTGGAGAAGAGTCTCGCGGCGGGAACCTTCAATCACGGCGTGAATACATCTCCGGCGCGGCGCGAGCAACAATCACTGCGTGACAGGAGTTGACAACCCAGCTGGTGGTCGCGGCGTGTCTGCTCATCACGGCGGGAAGAAGAAACGGTCATGGCGCTAGCAGTCCTCGCGGCGTGAAGGTGAGTGGAGGTCGCGGCGTGTCTATTGGCGCGGCGTGATGGAGGAAGGATGACCTCTGAAGCTTAGTCGTGGTCCCACTCGCGGCGTGAAGCACTCGTGACATTAAACTGGAAGGGGACTTATCTTATTTCAACATCTTTATTTCGCCTATCTTCACGAATCGGTTTTGTACGTCCCCGTCTAAATCCGAAATCGAGTTTTGGTTTATCCATCATGTAGCCAACGCTTTTATCTATCACCCATCATTCACCGGCTTGAAATAGACTTGAAACGATTCTCCATCGGCTCACGACAAAATAAACTTGTTTGTATGATTTAATATTTTGGATCCGTATGTCGTCACGTTTTGGTTTCGTACGACTTCGTCTAATCTCGAAATCACATTCCGCTTTCTGTAATGCCTGTACAACGAATTTCTCTAGCAACCATCATTCAGCGGCTCAAAATAAAATTTGAACGATTTCCCGTCGGAATTTCGGACCTACACACCATCAACGAGAAAAATAAAGGAAATAGAAGAAAAATAATCGAAATAATATATAAACGATACGAATTAACGAAAAATACACAACAAAACATTATTTACATGAATAATGAAATAAACAACATGAAATGATAGAAAAATAACGACAGAACAATAAGAAAAATCACGACAAAAAACAGTACAAACAAGGAGATCGATGCTAGTTTCAGAAGAAGTAGTGCTCAGGTCCAGGTGCAGCCACCAGCTCAGTTTACTGCATTCCCAACAGCTCAGCCAGCGCTTGTTCAGCAAGCCAAGAAGAATAAGAGAATGTGGAAAGGCCCACAGAATGACCGAAAGAATAGACAGAGGTAGCCCGGTACGGCTAACCAGCCACGGTTTCTAGCTTTGTGGCACCTGTGGACGTTCTCATCCAGGAGAGTGTCTAGCTGGCCAAAACATTTGCTTTCACTGTCAGAGGCCAGGACATGCCATCCAGAACTGTCCAGATAGGATGCAGCAACAGCAGTAGCCTCAAAGGCAGCCTCAGCAGCAGAGACGAGCAGGATAGGAGGCCCAGATTTACGCACTGGAGCAGGTAGAGGCAGAGCAGCACCCAGGTACCATGTCTGGGATTATTATCTGGATTGATGTACCTATTTTTGCATTGTTCGACACTGGGGCGACACACTCGTTTGTGTTAACCCGATGTTTAGAGGTCATTGGAGTTCAACCCACCAGCACTATTGACTCTCTTGAGGTTAGCCTAGCCTCAGGAAATAAGATAGTGACGAGCTTCAAGGCAGAGAACCTTAGTCTTAGCATTGGTGGCAGAATCTTGGCGGTCAGCGCATATGTTATCAAGATGGGGGACTTTGACCTCATACTCGGTATGGATTGGCTAACGCATTATTGTGCCGATATTCGTTGTCATGACCGGGAGGTAATTCTTCATCTTTAGGAGTATAGTCAAATTTCATTCTATGGCTCGAAGACGCGAACCTTTCCTCTTGTGATTTCCATGGCGAAGGCGAGAAAGATCTTAAGCAGGGAAGAGTGCCAGGGTTACCTAGTGAGCATTGTCGAGGAAGATTTGAGAGCACACACACCTCATGACATTCCAGTTGTTCGTGAGTTCTTGGATGTGTTCCCAGACCAATTACCCGGAGGACCACCAAGCAGAAAAGTTGAGTTCACCATTGACCTTGTGCCAGGAGCAGCACCGGTGTCCAAAGCTCCATACAGAATGGCACCGAAGGAGTTGCAGGAGCTGAAGACTCAAACCCAAGAGTTGCTGAAACTCATTTTCATCTGACCGAGTGTTTCACCTTGGGGACCACCCGTGTTATTCGTTAAGAAGAAGGATGGATCCATGAGAATCTGCATTAATTACCGAGATCTCAACTGGTTAACGGTGAAAAATAAGTATCCGCTCCCAAGGATAGATGATCTGTTCGACCAGCTGAGAGGAGCTTGCGTATTTTCAAAGATTGATTTACGCTCAGGCTATAATCAGCTAAAGATTAAGGAGTCCGATGTGGCCAAGACTGCGTTTCAGATGAGATACAGACATTACAAGTTTGTGGTTATGCCATTCGGTCTGAGCAATGCACCAGCGGTGTTCACGGATTTGATGAACCGTGTCTTCCACAGTACTTAGACCAGTTTGTTATCGTCTTTATTGATGATATTTTGGTCTATTCCAAGAGTCTTGAGGAGCATGAGTAGTATCTGAGGGTTGCCCTCGGGACCTTTAGACGAGAGAAGCTTTATGCCAAGTTCTCCAAATGTGAATTTTGGCTGAAGAGGGTGGCATTTTTAGGCCACATTATCACAGAGAGAGGCATAGAAGTTGATCCAGCCAAGATTGGCACAGTACGGAACTGGTCAGCGCCAAAGAATCCAACCGAGGTCCGTAGTTTCATTGGATTAGCAGGGTATTATCGCAAATTTATTGAAGGGTTCTCGAAGATTGCCCTCCCTTTGTCCAAGCTGACGAGGAAATCTGTGAAGTTTGAGTGGACGAGCCGTTATGAGGAGAGCTTCCAGGAGCTCAAGAAGAGGCTTACGATGGCTCCAGTGCTGACTGTTACAGATCCTACTCGATGTTTCACCATCTTTAGTGATGCTTCGAAGCAGGGTCTTGGGTGTGTACTTATGCAAGATGGCCAAGTTGTGGCTTATGCCTCGCTACAGCTAAAGCCACATGAGCAGAATTATCCGACTCATGATCTAGACTTGGCAGCCATTGTACACGCACTCAAGATTTAGCGGCATTTGTTGGGTTCGCCTGTACCGTACGGGTTATACGCAGCAAAAAATTTGTTTCGAAAACAAATATTTATCATATAAATACTCAACCCATATGTACATATAGCGAATTAACCGATCGTCATCATTTAAAAACATGTAATAATACAAATTATGATTTGTAGTAAGTAATTTTTGAAAATTACCTTTGTCCTTGAACTCCTTCAAAATCGACGATGATTGAGGAAATCAATTTTCGGTTAGATCACGTCTCGCTTTAGGAATCCAAGTGTCTTCCTTCTAATGGATTCTACCTTTTGAAATCCAACACCGATAGTCTCTTTCTTCGCTAGTAGAAAAATATCGGTTTCGATATAGGAATATTAAAAGGATTTTTATTGGGAGATAAAATATTATTTTATTATAATTTAAGAACACTTTCTTAAATTTTATATTTATTTTGAAGAACTCTTCTTCTTTTCTCTCTCTTTTTCAACTCTTGAATTTTTCAAAGACTTAGCAATTTTGTGCAAACATTTTGCACCTATTTATACGAAACATTTTAGCATAAAATAATCAATATTTGATATTTATTTATTTCAATAAAATCAGATTTTATTTAAATAATCATACAAAATATTGACTTTTAATTAATAATTTGGAGTGGTTTATAACCATCATCAACCACCATTATTTTGTCTCTTCATTATTTTAATCTTTAATCATATTAAAGATAAAAATAATAAAATAATAATTCCTGAAAATAATTTTCAAGATTTTATAAAATAATCTTTTTTCTCCCAATTATAATATTATCCTCTTTATAATAATCATATTATTATTTTGGATTTGAATTTTAAAATCATATTTTAAAAATCTAACTATTAATTTAGTAATTACATTAACTACTTAATTAATATCCAAAATCTAATTAATCAATCCAATTGATTAATTTATAATATTCCTTTAATTGATATCTAATTCATAATTGGATAATTAATTAAATAATCATATTATTTAATTAATCTTTATCCATTAATTCTAACTCTTTAGAAATATCATTTCAACTTTGTTTTCATTCAAAACTTGGTGTGACCTTTTAGGTTCACAATTAATACTAGTAGTGGGTTTACAACTCTTTGTAATTTGAGTTAATCAAATTAACTCTTATTCATGAATTAACTCTGTAATTCAAGAACCCACATATCACGGGAACATCTAGCAAGTAGCATGAATCTAGTATTAAGTGAATAGTGAGTAAACCTATTTCGATTACAAGTCCATACATGTAAAATCCTTTCAAAATCTAATTTCCCGATAAAATCTTTAGGTATGATTTTTTCGAAACCCAAATTGATTTAATAACTATGATTCCATTTCAAGTTTAGTAATTCGTTTATGAATCTCTATTCATCCCGCCTTGGCCAAGGATTTTGAATTACTAACTATGAAACACATAGAAAATTCACTTATCTTCATAAGTGTGGAATCCTTTGTTGGCCACTGACAAACTTCCATACATACTAACATAATACCCAAAATATCCCTTTATACGATTGTGCTAGCAATCAAAAGAATAAATCAAAGTAAAATATAATATGCACAAAGTTACCATCGTGCCTCAAGTCTAAAGATTAATCATGTACTATTGTAACATGAAAATTCTTATTCGACATGATAAACTTTCATTAAGAATTTTCATACGGTCATGTTCAGTGAACTTGTTCTCTAACAAGCACCCACATATATGTATTTGCGTCCCACGGTAATGTTGATGGAATGCAACATTCTTATCTAATAAGCATACATACTATGTGTAAGTCTTTTCCGGATTTATTCGATATCCCATCTCGAAACATCCAACGACTTGGAATTGTATTTAAGATCACAACTTTCAAGATATGTTCCATGATCACCATCTCTATGCGCAACCATATCTTATAGCTATAAGTGATCTAAGGACTTTATCTCAAGTGCAAATATATGATAAATACTTGCTCTTAAAATAAAGTAATGCCTATTATTTAATATAATTCCAATATATTGTATTTACAAGTAGGATACGTCCAATTTGATTGGAACACTAAGTATACTACTCTAACAGCATTATCTCTATGGTGGTCAGTGTGAGATCTTCACAGATCAC